GAACAAAATAAATACTTGAAAACTATCACAGAAAGTGCTCTTGGGCAGCAAAGAAAACCCACCAAAAACTGGTAGGAAAAGAAGAATTTATTTGTTTATTGAAAACTACTGCAGCCAAATCAAGGTTCTTTCCCCACAGACAGGCCACAGCAAGCAAGGGAAACTGCCCTGAAGTGGTCAGGAAATTTCTGACTCAGTTATTGCAACCTTCGCTACCACCTGCCCTTTGCCCAAACAACCCTCTGCCCAAAAGATCTAGATTTAAACCCTCTGGAGTTTCTCAAAGCTCTTCTCCCAGCTATGGTGCTGCTCTCATATTGTCAGGTCAGTGAGAAAGCATTTCTCATCATGTGGTGCTGGAGGTGGTGTCCCTCCTAGCTAGCCTGAAGTGTTGCACTCTGAATTCAGCATCTGCTAATGGCCTGCTGAATGAAGAACCTACAAACTTTTTCTGCTCCAAGGGTGGCAACAGTTCCTTGGCAAACCTGATGCTAACAAACCTTCTCAAGAAGCTGTATGGACTGAACAGTGTTCAGAAATGGTGACTGTTAGATGTGGTTTCACAAACAGCTTCAGCCTCTAACCATATAATGCTCCTGAAAGGGTCATCACTTGCATCCCTGATGGAACAGCTCGCAGCTGTAAATAGAGATCAACCTGTAAATACAGACAAAATTAATCTTTTAAGGGCATGGCAGGATGATGCAGCTGTAGCACAAAGGTAAGAGCTGGACTGTCCCTTTCAACACCAGCAGTCTTAGATTAGTGTAATCCTAAGAAAGAATATACCGGGCCTACCATCACAGGGCAGCAGAACTGGGATCCTGCTGCTGACACTGTTCTCAGCACTGGAAAAAGACAAATCTTACGCTGACAGCTGCTTCCTTCCAGTTCAACTCCCTATTCATTATCAAAGGTGAAGTTAATTAAATCTCTCCTAAAAAGCTGCTCAGACAACTGCGATAATTATTTCAGACTAGGATGTGTGAAAATTTATGTAATTCTGTGGGCCCACAGAGCTGCTGCAACATTCACAGGATCAATTCTAGCATTGGTTTTCCACAAAAACCTGATCCATCACACCAGCAGGCACAATTTAGATTAATGAGGTAGAAGAGGTCGGCCACAGTCCTGCTGCACGAAAACTTAATTTGCACATCTGTGACTACTGGATGTACAGAGATGAGAAAATAAGACGGCATGAGAATCCACAATGGGAGAGTTTGCAGGATATTGATTTCTGCAGAAGTTGACATCTGTCACTAGCTTAAATGGAAATCAGACCTGAAGAGAAGTTTTGAAAGTGGAGATAAATGGCTGAATGCATCCAGAAGGAATCTTTATATGGTATGATGTGACCCAGGAAAATGACAGGAGAAAAGAAAAGCCTGGTCCTAAATCCATTCCCAAGGATAATTCTTTTAACATGTAGGAAAGGGTTGATCAGCTACCCTTTCATCTCACTGCAGATGGTCACCTTGCACCTGGGAAGAGTCAAAAGCAATGGGACCCAAGACTTCTCAGAAAAGCCTGGGTTCCTCCGTATCCCTGTGATGAAGAGATAAGCCAAAAAGACTTGGTTACCTATCCCTCCCTTTCTCAAAGCACATCCCAAGAAGGAAGAGTGTCCTCCTTTTTTCCTGAAGGCAACATGATGGGACTTGACTTTGCTGGTTCCTACCACAACAATCTATCTCTTTTCCACAAGTTCTGGAAAGAGATGCAAGTACGGTGCTCTACAGGCACCTCATTGATGTATTACGGCAGACCTAGTGGTAGGGAAGAGTGCCTGCATCCACAGTGCCCGTGGTTAGAGTGAGGTAGCTCACCTAGTTGCTCCATCACCATCACCTAATATTTGTTGGTAGGCCAAGAAATTAGTAACCAGTAAAAGGCTGGTCAATGGACAGGAAGAGGGAAGATACTTGTCTGAATGGACATGGGTATTTTGCCATAAAAAGAAACCTTTCATTACACTTACAAAGCAATTGGTTCTTCTCTAAGCTCAACCCTTGTTAATGTAAAGTAGGTGATTCTATTTAAAACAGTAGTTCTCATTTCATTTGAGCACGTATCCACAGAGAGCACAGTCTTTAGTTTGCAATGAGAATGTTTATCATAGTCTTCTCCCTAATGTTGTGACAAGCACAGCCCACGCACATTTTGCAGACTCATTTGTCTCTGTAACAGTCTCTTCCTCAAGAGTTACAAGTCACTGCTGGGGATTCACTGCTGTGCTGACAGTGCTGTGGTGCTACTGCTGCTACAACCACTCAGCTACCACAAAGATCATGAAGTACTTGGTTGCTCCTGTGTTCTGCTCTGAACATCATCTTTTTCCCATCTCCCCTTTGGAAGAAGAAGGTTCTGCCTTCCTCTGCCTTAGGCAGTGTTCTCCTATCTCTGACCATGATTCACTGGAAAGTACATTTTCCAAAGCCAAACACTTCTCGGATCTACCACATGCATGTGAGCAGACCGTGTGGTACATGCACAGGTACACTATGTAAGTCAAGAGCTACCACATCTGCATTATTCAGCTAACCCATCTGTGTACAGTGAACATGTCTAGGTTTATGGACCCACCACAGACCTGCTGGTGCATCATAACTCAGGCTGGTCTTAGGTCTTGACAAAATGTGTCCAGGCAAATTTTCTGTACGGTATAACAGAGTATGTCCAACAGACCAAGATGTTTGCCAGTTTTCCTCTAGTAGCTTAGCCAGCTCTAGCCCACTAAAGCAATGGGTTGTCACAGCTCCTACTCTGATCTGAGGGCTGGGGAGAGATTTCTTCAGTCCCCTTTGGGAAAGGAGAGGGACTGTCAACATCCACAGGGCAAAGGGAAGATTTATTCTTAGGCCTCAAAATACGCTCAAGCCCCCCTGCCAGAGAGATTGCAGGGTTCAGCTCATGTTGAACATCGCCTCTCACCATAAAGGGTCACTGGAAAAGACACTGTGGCACTGCCCTGCAAGAACATGTAACACCAGTCTGGTGGTAAGGGGAAGTGGGAGATGATTCAAATGCTGCCTCTACATTTATGTGACCTGACAGTTCTGCTAAGGCTTCCAGCTGAACAGAAAACAAAGTGCATTATGCATAACCACTTGAGAAAGTTCAGCTACAGGATTTCAGGTGATTTTACATAGAGGCAAGGTGAAGTATTCTACTAGGTTAAAACAGCACTGCTACTCCTCTTCGCCCCTTTAACAGCTTCACCTTTACCCCCCATCGCCTCACATTCAGTCCACCAGCTCTCTATGATGTGCAGATAACACTGTGATCTAGGTTTATCAGGGGGATTTCAGAGGGTGTTAGGCACCTGAACAGGCCAACAAATCCTGGCCTATACCTCTGTCTATACCTCTCGCACAACCAGCAGTTGCTTCTGGATTCCCATAGCAACTGGCTACCACTGGCATGATTTTCTGCTTCTTTACATGTATTCATTTCCAACTGGATTTTGATGACTTGTCAGCTACTGAAAGTGCTGGGACAATTCAAGAATAAATGAAAACTACTGGAATTTAAAAGAAATGGAATTTTTTCCCATGGGTTTCCGTAACCATCTTGGTGTGCTGCTAACAGTGACAACCCCAAACTGATATAAAAGGATAGTCCATTGGTGTCAGAGCAGACTTCGGAGACCTTTCTCTGCCACAGAGGAAGAGAAAACATATAACCCAAAGGACATTAACATGACAGATGGAGAAGTTCTCTCCATTAGTGGATAATAATGCAAGGACTGCTCTTCTCTTCTAGCCGTATGAACAATCTGGATGAAGTGCTGTATGCTGAGATTGCTAGCAGAGGAGAGAGCAAACACGAAAATATTGCAAGCACATACGTGTTTGCTCCCAATATACCGCAGCACTAAATCAGGTCATGTCCTGCCTCATCAGCTTCTATAAACATCAGGTGGGCTGTCAGGATGTAATGCAAGATGGCACCCAGCCCAATTTAACCTTTGTTTAAATTAAGTTAGGTATTACCACTGAGATAGCTAGCAGTTTTGCATGCGTAGAAAGCAATAGCTGCAAAACTACCTGCTTCAGGAGAGGTTTGAAACCACACATGGATTCTCTCTCCTAGGTTTAGTACCTGCTGTGCAAATCATACATCCTAACAGGAGCTGGCTGGCAAGAATTAGCACTGGAAGCAGGTTGGCCTCATCATTCAGATGCCAGCCTAAGATCCAGAAAGCATGAATTTGACTCGTTACTGCAGCACAGATTCCCTGGTGATGCTGGTCTGTCTGAGCATTGGCTCCCTGCTTGATCTCTTGAGGATTATCAGTGCAGGCAAACTAGCCTTGTGAGAGAGATGTCAGGAATAAAACATGTTATGTGATGGTAAGTTCTGGAGCTACACCATCAAGGGGGCAGGTAAGTAGTAAGAGCAAGTATGTTATTCCCTCCTGTAACTCTAAGCTCCGACCCTCCTTTCCACTAGATTAAAAATTAAATGCAGATTGACAGAGATTTTAATGAGAGTCCTTTACAGCTGTGGAGGTGTGCACAGGATTCCTCGTGGAAGTGGGCATGGAGGTCTGTGAGCTACCAGCAGAAAATCACTCCTTTTGTGGCAAGAGCCCCTGATTTCAGCTCACTGAACGTGAATTCCTCTGTTTCTAGGCTCTGTTTCTCACTTTTCATAATGGGGGTCAGTTTTTACCCCCTGTGGATTCCTTGCAGAAAGCAGAAGTGTCATGTTAGAAAACAAGGACTAGATGGCATGTCTTAGGCTTTCAAGACCTTCCTTTGGAGTCACAGAATAACACTTTGCACCCTACCTTACTCAAAGGGTCTTCCTAATCTCCTTTTTAATGTGTTTGATTTCCAAGCTCCATGACACATATCTTAACTTTTACTTGCAAGTATTGATTATCACAGTTAGCATTCAAAGTATTTAAGCTTTGCCCTCAAATTCATATCTCTTGAAGTCTAAATAATTCCTCAAATCACCTTCATCCTACACAACAGATTTGAGATGTGTACCTCAGCAGTTCCTCGGTGTCCTCCTCAGGACCGGTGTTCAGCACATACTCCCTGTTCTTACACGCAGCTGGCAGCAGCAGTGAGTCACCTAGTCTTACCACCCCACCAAGGTCTGGATCTTCAAATAATTTCAGATCTAGAAAAGGGAACCAGAACATACCGTAGTTAAATCATACTACATAACACATTACCAGCATTAACACTAGCTAGTAAATCTGGCTACTGGGTTGAAAAAAAACATCAGATAGACGATTCTTTTTTACAAGGACTTCCAATCCACAAAGCGTAGTGATACTCTGCACTCTCAGGACTTAGTAAATCTGCTTTCTTCTTGCACTCAAAAGTAGGTCACATTACTCTTGTTAGTGTGGCATGAGCGACTGTGGGACAGCCAGCTCCCACAGACCTATAATATCCAGTCCAAAATGTCAACAGTGAACAGCTGTGGGAATTACAGGTCTTATTTATTCTCTCTGAATGATTCTAGATGATCCTGCCCCAGCTGAAGATTTGCCTTAACATTCCCAAGTCATTATTTAGCCTGTATACTCTGTATCACTACATTTTAAAAGCTCAGTTATACACATGCTTTAGATAAAACAATCCGTGTATATACAAATATAGAACAGATTTACTCTCTTTCATCTTCTTCCTGGGACCAATTGATGAGAAATCTTTTTCTGGGCCAAAAAGTCCTTCATCTGTATCTACTTCCTCTTCAAAAATGGTTAGTTTGGGCTTCTCTTCCTTGGTTGGAGGAGCAGATGTCTTCTTTGTTTTTTTAGTTCTAAAACATAAGAGACGAGAAAGTCAGCTGCTATTCTTCATTTAACAAGAAAGATTTAGGGCTAGAAAGTCTCATAAACTGAAAATAGATGGAGGCTGGTAAAGGATTAGAGAAAGGTACACAGGCATCTGTTAGCTGCTGGCAGGAACAGGATATTGAGCTGGAGGGACTGTTGGTCTGACATACTCTACCTGTACTCATATTTTGTATTCTTAAGAACCATCAAGGAACCCCAGAGGAACTGGAAGGCAGGGCTAACAATGCTGCACTGTGCAAACTACCACTCAATTACATTTGCTTTAAGCAGTTTTACTCCTCCCACACAGAAAGCTTAAAATAAGAAAGAACAGTTCCAGCCAGACTGTCATAGACAGACAGAAAACGGATGGCTTGAAAAACAAAGTGCGGGTTGGACCATTGCACTGATCCCTTTGGACAGTTTTTTAAAAATCTCTTTGGCTCCATTTCCTTCCCAGTGCCTGCTTCTGTTTTTGACTGCATACTCCTTTCATGAAGGTATTAGACACTCCCCTCGTCCTCCTCAGAGGAGACATGATATGAAGACTACATCACCTTTAAGTTGAAGCAAGCAGGGATTGGAAGATACTTGGTTGGACAGACAGCTATTTGCAGAATTTACAAATGTCACTCAGCACTTTCTTGAACCAAGGACAGGATTAACTTCATCTAAATTTAGTCTTCTAAAAATTTGACAATGAGACAAAGTTAATTTTTAGGCTTCTTCTCTACTCAGTGGAAAGAGATATACATTTCCATAGGACAATTAATCCCATCTATTTTGAACACTGATATTTGGACGCAATAAATCTCTGAAGACCTCCTCCTCTTCCCACTGGCTGGAGAAGGAAGCTGAAAACTAGTTTGGATTAGAGACCTTATTTGCACGTGGCTTAAACAAGGAGAGCTGAATCCTCTTCCAAGAGAGTGAATGTCATACATAGGAGTCACGTTCCACTAGCTGAAGCTATAAGGCAGCTTTCACAGTAGGGCAGCTTGAGTTCTGAGGCAAATCAGATGGCAGAAAAAAGAAAATTTAGAGAACAGGACAAAAAACCTTTGGGTGAAAAGTCCAATTCAAACTAAGCTGAAAGAGAAGCATTCCTTAGGACAACATGTCCTTCCTAAGAAATTGCTGTATTTCAGAGATCCTTACTCTTAAGCAGTCATGGCCTTGCAATTTCTAAGGTAGCCCCTTTGAGTGCCTCTACAATAGAAGATCTGATCTTCTCCTTTTCAGAGAGCAGGTCAGGTTTCAGCCTAGAGCAAACCCAATTATCAACACTTAACATGCCATAGTGATCAAAAACTAAGAACAAGGTCAAAAGAGTACACATACATTCCAACTACATTAAAAAATCTTGTAAAATCCTCTTC